ATTGTTAACAAGCAAGTTACCGATCTTATACATTTTAGACAATATAATTATATAATAGTGTTGTATTATGCATGTACTATGCCTAAATAGTAGGCAGGGTTTGACACATGGTGCACTCGCCGGAGGCTCGTGCACCATGTGTCAAACCCTGCCTACTATTTAGGCATAGTACATGCATAATGCAACACTATTGTTAATATTATGCTGACTGTTGTAATTATTTATGCGGCAATCCATTTGACTTTTTCCTGAAAATATCGGTGCTAACACAGCGCACTTGCAAGAACTCATTCAAAATCTTCATGCTGAAATTGGTTGCATGCTTAGTTATTTTGGTTACTAGTACTTTCTTTAAATAGGTCGGGATTTTCTGTCCCAAAGCAACTCATCTTTATTTTCTGTTTTGTTAGTAAGACTTATTTGTTTGCAGACGTCGATTCTCATTGATAATTTTCTTTTACATCCTTCAATCAAGCGTCATATAAAAAAGCGTTTTAATGACCCTATGATATCAGTTCATCTAACGATCTGTATGTAATTAGTTTGAATATTTGTTGTACACATTAATCTAAGGTTCATTAGAATAATATAACTGTTTTCAAATAATATTTGTCTATTTTCTCCTTCTTGTGTCAATTGTATAAATTAAGATTATATATATAATAAAATTCTATCAATCAGTGATCGTCTCTGTGGCGTAATCGATAAGGCATCGGACTGACAATTTCATGGTCGTGAGTTCGATCCCCGGCGTGTGCATTGAAGAATATTCTTCAGTAAATAAAGCCGTGCACTATTTCGGCATAGTGTGTTTACGCTATATAAATCACCACTATGCGTTAGATACGTTAGACCACGTTAGATACGTTAGACCACTATGCGAGAATAGTAGGGTATGGATTATATAGAGACAAACTGACAGGAAGCATAATAATTTCAGATATGGGTAGCTTTTCTTTTTAACGCCAGTATCTACGGACATTATACATGCACAATGCAACGAGATTATGTTGCCAAGAGACATATTTATGTTATCATGCAAAATAATTATGTTATACATCCATGTTATGTTAGCACGCAATGTCTATTTCAACATGAATATTTATATGCAACAAAATTATGTAGACGTACCAACATGTGCCTTATTTGTGTCAAGATACGATTATGTTTTAACATGTAGAAAATTTATAAAAAAAATAATAGGTTGTATGTCAACATACATATCTTACATGTTTTCATAATTATCACGCAACTGAACGGGACAGTATAGTATGATCGGTTTTTATCCCAAAGTAACGGAATAAGGAACTGATCTTTAAATTGGTACCCCCATAAAGAACAGAACAGAGGTTGTTAAGAGAAAACCATATAAAACATTGTTTTTGTGTCGCAGTAGAAGAAGAATGAAAATAGATTTCTCACTGCCCATGTGCCATAAATCTCGAGTACAAGTTAAAAGTTGCAGGCCTCCACTGACAAGGTGTGATGTCTTTGAATTGAACGACATTTAAAAAAAAATATCTGATTCATTTCATTATTCTTTAACTTGCTTGGACCACTTGGTTTAATCACTCAATTAACAAATGGTTCTGAAAAAAAGAAAAAAATATATTTCGATTGTTTCTTTTCTTTTAATTGTTCTGGTCTCTTTATTCTTCTAAAAAGTATTTTCGTTACTTAGTGTTGTGGTAATTCTCAGTTTTACCTTAAAAAATAATGGTACACCGTGTTTAAAGCAAAAAATTATTTAAATCTCAAGTCTGAATAATTGAATGAATATGCCAAAACACGGTTTTGCTTGATTGAATACAATATCGGTTATACAACAAGGAGAACAAGGAAGTTAAGAATTTATGGTTTCCTTATTGTGCTTACTTTGAGATCTTCAGCACACAGTCAAGTCATAGTGGTACGTAGAAACATGAAATACCTTTTCGCACACTGCACTCGTTTATCGATATTTTATTTGAAAAGATGGCGGTACATTAGATACATACATGTGAATAATAATAAAAAACATCTATGTGTTTGGCACCATTTTGTCTCGTAAACATACTAAATATAGAAAATGTTTAAATGGCGTACACCGAAGGGTTTTTAATGTACGGATCAAAAGGCATGAATTTATTTTATCAGAGATTTTCTTTTTTAACATGAATTCAAAATAAATACTAGAATTTGTTTAATAATGAAATTTTGGCATAATATCTTTGTGCTTTAAAATGATTGTAAACAGTGCATATTATGCAGGGGCTGGTTACCTCGGATTACATTATAACTATCCAAATTATACAAAATACATTGTATACAAAAAAACTTTATTTACTTTTCACGGAGGAGATCTTTTAAGCTGACTATTTTTTTTCCTTTTCTGACTACGATAATTGAATTCTGAATGTAGGTAAGATAAAGATTTTCGAAAAAACAATGTGATCATCAAATTTATTTTCATTGATTTAATTGCGACGCAATTTGAAAAGTATCAACCTGGTAGGATAACCTAACAGGGTATAATCCGTTTCGTGAATTATTTTTTAAAAAGCACAATCTTCTCTAATTCAGTTTATAATATAAAAAGTGAGTAGGTATTAAATTCATTCCTTATTATTAAACCTTCATTAATGATATCTAAAAAAAAAAAGGTATTTCTGACCCTAAGAAATAACAACATATCGTACAAAAACTTGATCGTGACGATCGTGTTGATCAATAAAGCTGATCAATAGGTTTTTGACTCAGGCTATTATGATGAAGGAAACACAGTTAATATGATAAAATGTAATTTTTTTATCCAATCAAATGCTATGTTATACTAAAATTAAAAGACTTACTTAAAAAACTCTAAAAACTGCAAACGTTGGATGCTTCTTAAAATTGATAATCATTAAGTATTAGTTTCGATTATTAGTATTTCTCTTCATTATTTGAAAGATTGAATTCTTAATTTTGAATTTGTAAAGATTGTGAAAAAAAATAAACATATAAATTATGCATATCGGTATCTTCTTTTATTTTTACCTATTAGCCACATTTGCTTTAAAGAAATCTCCCTGGTGTCCAAGCCAATTAGACAGGCTTTGATTATATACAATAGACAAAATTTCTGACGCACCACCAAAGAGAATTTATATTTTACTTTTAAAAACCTGTTTATGATGTATTTCATAAATGAATATATCAATTTAATAAACAATAAAGCATATTTATGTCAAACCTTGTAAATAACTACAATGTTTACTGAAGTGTGACCAATTCGTAGAAAAACATAAAATCATGTCGATTTCATTTTCGAAGATTTTTTTTTCAACTTCTTCTTTGTATTTGTGTTCTTTACATTAGTACATGTACTAATAAGAAACTCAGAAAAAAAGTTACATCGTACTTGTATGTGGGATTTGACGCTAGAAGAGCCTGCTTAAGCAGACAGTATGGCGTTTGCAGGGGGCTCCATCAGAGAAATCTGTAAAAAATGAATACAATAAAAAGCTTATAAATTCCTTTCATGAAAAGTTTTTGCAAATGGATTGACAAACATAAAAATATTTACTATAGATATCAAAGGCATTAAATTAACAGCATACAATAAGTTGAAAATTGTTTCACAAAACTTGGTCAACCGGAAGTAAAGTAGATTTGGTACAGACACTAAAGTACCGAATGAATATTAGGCGATATGACAGTCAGTGACTGTTTGTTATTTGATTTATTACTGGGGGACTACTCCTGTGGCAACCTCACATACCACCTTTAGAGATCATGAATTCCATATCTGAGCAAAATGGTTCGCAGTGTACAGCTGGAAATTGGTTTCCGGATATTAAGGTCATTCAAGGGTCTTTCTTTTCATGATTGTCAATCCCACTGTTTTCGAAATAATGGCATATTATATACACTGGTACCGATCCGACAAATGTTAAATTCGCAATTAAGAATTAACAAGTGGTGCGTCAGCAATTTTGTCTAGTGTATGATGCTGCTAATAATGAAGTCCAGTTTCTCTTTTCATGGTTTTCTTTTTTACCAAAACAATAAACTTACACATGTGTATTCAAACAGACCATAGACCCAGAGGAGATAACCTCTAATTTACATTCTCTGTGTTTTTCTAGCAAGCAAACTGTGAAATTGATTTTGAATAAAATTTTCGTGTATACTCACGAGTAGAAATATACACAGAGAAACTTAAGTTAACGTGACGTCACAATAAGACTAAAGCAACGTTAGTAAAAATATAACGATATAGGGCAGCGAGAAATTCAAATATATAATATATTTAAGTTGGTTCCAAACATGTATTATGTAAATCTAAGGAATGTTTTTGGTTCAGTGTAAATTATAAGTGCGTGAATAACACAGAACTTGCACGTCGGCATATTTGTCAAGAAGCGCTCTTCATGAAAAATATCTACGTGAAACGTATTGTGTGATTCACAAACGATTAACTCACACAAAACTTAAAACATTCCTAAAATAACTATAATAAAAGAGAAATATATTCATTTTCTATATAAAATTAAAAAATTCGTGTTTTCTTTTATCATTATATTATACATCTGATGCAAAATAAAGTTATAAATTTTTGTCCTAGTAGATTAAAAATTAACAATTTTAATGAATATTTCTTTACCGACATATTTTAGGCTCTTAAAATGAAACATACAATATAGGAGTACATTTAAGTTGTCACAGTATTTTACAGTAAGATAGCAAAATTACTTTAAATAGGTTACGCTAACAAATCCAATTGCTGATAAAAACAAAGTTTGTGTCATCTCTTTAGATCTCTTTTTATGACATGCAAAAGGTTTGTACTGTAAGTTTTATAATGCTAATTCCTATCTATTTTATTTTCAGATTGAGAGATTTTGCATCTGAAATGTCCTTTCCTAATCAAACTATTTGATCTGTGTTATACAGAAATTTACACTAACTAAATTCAGCTGATAAAAAACCTCCAGGAATAAGATATTCATATATTCTGAATTTTATCCGACTCAAGAATATACTTAAGAAAAGCTGGACACTGTTCTTAAAAATGTTGTCCAAGGCGATGTTTCAGAAGTCTGTCACAGTAAAAGGCATTCGTAACGGTCATCACATTTCATGTTCAGGTGGAAATCGAGTATGGGTCAGTGATTATTTTGAACAACTTCTTTTGACAAATACCTCGGGTGAAACGTTGGCCTCTCTGACGGATTATGACAGTGGTAGAGGTGCACACGCTGTTACCAAGGTCGGGGATCTAATTTACATCGATAAGAATAATGATATCAACAAATTGTCAGCAAACAACAAAACAAAAACCCTTATAATAAAATCCTCAGAATCATGGACCCCCCACTGTATTTGTACTTCGCAGTCTACCGAGGATCTGCTGGTTGGAATGACAAAAAATGGTACTGGTCTCTCGTTAAGTGACATGGAAGCCAAAATACTTCGTTACAACGCAGAAGGACAAAGCATCCAGACTATCCAATACGCATACACAGGACAGAAACTGTACACGGCTCCAATTTACATTGCAGAAAATCTTAACGGAGATGTTATAGAGTCGGACTGGAACCGTGTCGTGGTGACAGACCGGAGAGGAAATTATCGTTTCTCCTACCCAGAAGATCCGTTTGATTATTTGTCTCCATGGGGAGTTTGCACAGACTCTCTGTTACATATCCTTATTTGTGATACGATCACATACACGGTAAAAATGCTAGATAAGGATGGGTATTTCCTTCAATATCTATTGTCATATGAACATGGCATTACTGAATTTCGAAGCTTGAGTTATGATTTTAGAAATGACTTACTCTGGGTTGGATCATTGGACAACAACATTCTATCTGTGTTTAAATACATAGAGAAGGAAAGTAATCAGCAAGGTAAATAAAAGATATTTTTTCTTTTGAAAAGCAAAGAATAATTGATATAACATACATATATTCTATACATGAAAAAGAGGAATCAGGAATGTTTTTCAATTCAATTTTAAAATTAAGGAATGAATTTAATACCTACCCATTTTATACGGTATAAAATGTGTTGGGACAGCTAACAATTTATAACCGCGAAGCACAAAAGAATTGACATGCAAGTATATTTACATTGATAATGTAATTAAAATTAGTTCCACATTCAAGGTATTTAATGAAAAATACCATAAAACATATTCTAACTATTACACCTTAGATTGATAGAAAGATGACCCAAGACGCGCTGTCTTTGATTTTACAGCTTTAAAAGTTAAAAAGAAGGTAATAAAAACATACCTGGCCATGTATGATTGATTGATTGTATATTGTTTAACGTCTCTCTTGAGAATATTTCACACATATTTAAACATCACCGTATGCTGGTTAAGGGCTTCAAATTTTGACCTATACTCGGCACTCAGGGCCATTGAGCAGTGAGGGTTCTTTATCGTGCCAGCGCCTACCATGACACGGGGCTTACGTTTTTAAGATTATATCTGAAAGACCCGTGACTTTCACTTCTAGTGCCGAGCGCTTGGCGAAGGAACAGTCACTACCTTTGTTTACGTCTTAGGTATGACGCGCAGCCGCGGTCTAGAATCGAACCTGGGCCTCCCGATCACGAAGCGAACGCTCTACCAATAGGCTACCGTGACCGGTTGGCCATGTATGAGTACATATTAATTTTCCTTTTCCCCTTTGAACAACTTAATCTCTTAATTTACAGCCCATCTCTTTAAATTAAAAGTCCATTCATACTGTTGTTATTATTGAAATTTCAGAAGTATACTACAAAGTGACATCAGAGATGCTATATAAATACCAGGGTATTTTCTGCATGACGTCACTTCGGCAAATATCAAAACATTGAAAATGATTCCTAAGACATAAAAAAACAGGAAGCATGTCTGGATGTGATCAAACATTATTACTATAGTCCAAAAAATCTGTAAATTTTTACCGATTATTTTAAATGTTAACCTTTCTATTACATTTTCAATATCAGATCATGAAGAAAAGGTGGATAAAAGCAAAGAAAAAGAACTTGGAAAGGCAAACATGACCACTACAAATGAGGAAGAAACAAAGGAGAATGAAACTGATGATGAAAATAAGGGCACATCTGCAGAGGCTGGTGCTAATGGCACTAATGAAATGACTGGAGTTAAGAACGACACTGAAATGACTGGACCTAACTGCACGGCTGAAATTGCTGATGCTAGGGACGCTACTGAAATTGCTGGAGCTAAAGTCAACACTAAAATGACTGGAGCTAAAGGCACAACAAAAAAGGAGAGAATTAAAGACACCCCAGTTGAGCCTAAAGACCCCATAAAATGGATGAAATTTTGGACACCATTAAAAAGACAGGTTCAAAAAATTCTTGGAAAACGACAGGAATATCATTTACACTGAAAAACAAATTGAAGATTTGTCACTTTTAAGAACGACAAAAGTTGCATCAAATAATTTTTATTTACATGCTTTGTCATCAGGTTTAGTTTGTTACTGCATGTTTACATATTTACATATCTTTTACAATATATTACACAATATGTAGAACAGCCGTACAGAAAATAAAGCATGGTCACTGAATTCAATGTGAAATCATGTAAAAGTAACCCCAATACATAATTTAATACAAATATCATTTTAAAGAAGAAATGACAAAGTAATGGAAAACATTTTTTGAGAGATACATTTTTTTTATCTGAATTGGAAGAACGCAAGTGCATATTCCTGATTTTTTTTAAAGCAAATTTTAATAAAAATGTCAATTTTTTTGTTGAGTGTGCAATTAATAATTTCCCGTCAAACCTCTAACTTTTATGTACTAACCTATATATATCGAAGGAAACGATTATTAAAAGAATCTATTTCTTATATTTGAGATTTTTTAAAAGAAATTAAGTTTTTAAGCCACCAATATTCTACTAAGATCGACACTGTGAAATAAATAAATGTTTAATTTACTAATTACTATATTGATTACCCAATATGACACAAAAAATTCTAAGAAAGAATGTTGTTCGAATTATGGTGCGAACAGATGCATACTTCTCTTTAAATTTTACCTTTTTTTCTGGATAGGCACTTCCTGAATTGTAAGTTCTCCGTGTAAATTTAACAGTATTCCTCTATAAATTACATAAATGAACCTTCCATTTAATTTGCTTTAGATCAGACATATCATCTCATTTTCTAACACTAAACAAATGATTACTAGTATATATCATACAAAAAGTCATGTCTCCAAAAGCTGTTCTATTCTTCGCATTACTTCATCCTCATTTGTCTGACAAGAATTAATCCTTAATAAACTCTTAATTTTGCTTTCTTACTGCTGAGGAAAAGATCAGTATTCCATACAGTCTGGAAGATTTTTTTAATTTTCATTTGTTAATTGCTTTCTCTTGATCGGGGCGTCAAATCTGAGACATTTTTAAACATAAGTAATGAATATGTATTGGTCAAGCGCTTAATTCTGGTATCAGAAGTTCAAATTATCGAAGGAGACTTTAGAAGGTTAGTTCTTGTGTTACGTAAGGCGTTGGCACAATTTATAACCTCTGTGCTAAATGGATTTGAGTATTTTTACATATAATTCGGCACATGCCTTTATATCCTAAAGGATCCCAAAGTACTCAAATCAACAAGGACAAATAGAATATTCCCGCAATCATTTTCTTCTCTTTTCTTTTATAGCTGGAAAAGTAAATCTAAGGTTTTGTGAGACGATTCTGGTCCTCTTTTTACATGTTCTGTACAATTTTGTTGAATTGGTGTGGTGTTCACTTACTGAAGACAGTAAAACTGAGTTTGTTGAAGGAGGCCAAATATTGCTTATTGTAGGCGGATCCTTATTTTTGAGGGCGTTGATGATCGATGACTTATTGATTCATTAAGACTACTAAATAAACGAAGAATCAATGAATATAAATCCCATGAACAAGTAATATTTTGCTTGCCCGTGAAAAATGATACCCATGGACTGGAATGATTGCACGGTATGATGTACAGTAACAGGAAAAATGTCCAGGTCTAATGGCCGGTTGCGTATCTCAGACTTAAACCTACGATCAATGATTCCGGGTTTAAATCCAAGTTTTCGCGTTGCACGCATGTAAGGATTGGCTGAGTACGGCTCAGAATTACGGTAAATTCTGAACCTGGTGTAGAGGTGGTTTAAACCCAGCTTCACAAGGTTTCCATGTATTTTTGGGTAGAATAGTTCGATATTTTGAAATATTTCGATGTTGCAGAAATGTTTTATGGCAATTATGATTGCATTGATATATTTTGCAGTATCAAAAAAGCAATTCTACAAAATAATTTTTTGGCCATGTTGCATGGGGATTTTTTTTGCACACCTCTTCAACAACTGTTCAATGTGCCGTTTTAATACTGATTTAGCTGTAGTATGAAGTTTTGGAAGATACTTTTAATTAAAATGCATAAATGTACATAAACAGGAATTTAATAGAAACTTTCTAATATACCAAATTTAAATCAAATTAGGAATTTTACAGTTTCGAACAGCTGATGATACACATTTCAATAATTTCTAATAATGCCGAATTTCATGAGGATTAAAAGTCTTTCAGTTATCAGTGAATCAGGCTATCTACAGGGCCGGATCGTAGGAACCGGGCACGGGGGGAGGAGGGTATGTTCGTCCCATATAATTTTGCCGCTGTATAAAATTCTGTAGAAAACATAAATAATAATAAGTGTTTTCTCAAAAATAATGTCTTATAAGTTTTTTTTTCATTTGGTTTTAAACTAAAAATCTAAATTTATACATTTTTCCTTTATTATTTACCTATATATTGTGTTTTGATTTTGTTTCTAAATTACTTATTCCAAAGACACTATCCATGTTTTCTTCAATTCAGTCTTTTGCAAAAGCTTTATTCTGTTTGCGTTTTTATATTTTCTTATAGTTTGAGTTTCGATGAAAGATGCTGTGATTTGAATTAAATCATGTAAATTTTATTGCATTTTTTCAGCATTACTAGTATCAATTTACAATTTAACATCAACATATATCATTGTTTTTAAATAATATATATCCTTTTAATTTTCAACCAGTTACTAAGTATTAAAACTTGTTTTGAAGTACTGTAATACTAAGGGACCTTTTATCCTTCAACATTTTATACGAGTAAGTCAAGATTAGGTAAACCTTACTCAGTTTTATAGCGTGCAACAGAAATGCGACTCAGGTAATCCCGACTCAACTGGGGTTTAAACCCGGCTTACGTGATCCACGGATCAACCACTGAGCTGTACTTATCTGAACCATAGGTACGCAACCGGCCATAAGGTTTTTCTTCATCTCTTTTTTTATTAGCTTTTCAGGTGATAAATTCATCTTGTGATGCAAACAAAAGAAACATGGGTGCCTAAATTGGTACATGTATAGATTTGTTTACCTATTTTGATTAAATGATTAAGAATAGCCATACAATTTTTTGTCCCCTTAAGGTATTCAATCCCATAGGATCAAATTCAATGAAATTAAATGCATAACAGATAGTCAGATATGTAGGCATTGAATACTCAGTTTATTTAGACATACTTCCCATTTATTACTATTAGTATGTATAGTGGGATGTGTCCTAATTTATGACCTTGAATTTTGGTAAGAGTAATCTCCCATTTTTAAAATAAAAAAAAATCAATTAAAAAATTGTAGCTGGTAAAAAAAAATGGTTTTAATTGTCATTCTATTTTTAATGTTTCGATGCATCTTTCCACCGCAGGATTTATTGATATTCAAAGTATTTGAATTTTTATTTTGAAAAAACGCTTTTTCCCATAGACTTCAATGTAATCTTTGTTAATTAACTACTGCTTGATTAATGAAATTTTGAAACTTTCTCCCGGTCAATCCTTTTCCACTATAAGATACTTTAATATAATATCAGAGTATTATGTACTTGAAAGACATTTAAAGGTAGGGAATTTGGTCCCATTAGGGATGGAAATCCTTAAATCCAATTATTGTGAAACATTGTAACTATGCAATTAAACATATTCGTTTTAATTATATAAATTGACTTAAGTTTTTGATAAAATGTTTGTTTGAATCACCTGTCCTTAAAGACAACAAAACTGTCTTAACAAATTTGTGAAATGAAAGCTTGAGACCGTATATCCATTTTCGATACACAACATTCCAGCTGACAGAAATACGTACAATTTGATCTGAAAATTAGCAAATGACAATAATTTGCCTTTTTCCTTGTTTCTTTGGTTTAAAATATACCCAATGCAGACGTTTTTAAATGTAAACATCTTTACTGGCTTGTATTTACTTAAACCATGCAATTCAACATCTTTTTCTATTGATGCAGGATCATTTGAAATAAACTCGAATTTTTGTAATTTAAACTTGGTTGTTGTTATCGAAAAATAATCTTTACTGAATTAATATGAAAGAAAACCCCATATTTAATTATAATCATTATTAATAATTAATGATTTTTTTCATCGTGTGACTTGTTTGAAATGCTACAAATATTGTGGATTTCTCCCATCAGATATGTTGTAAATCTTTGGCATTTCCTTAGACTTTTTGCTGTGACTCTTAAGTTTCAATAAATCAGTTTTTATTTTTTAGCGCTTTTTATTTTGAAAGTAAAACAGACCAGTTGATAAATACCCTAAATGGGGAGTTATGTACCGTGAAAGGCAATATTGACATTGATAATGCAATTATTGTGAATAAGTCTTTCTTTTAAATAAGTGGAACGAGGTGTCTTTTTTAAAGCAAATAAAAGAATTTAAATCTCTATTTGGAATGATTGAGAAAGAATGTCAAAACGCCCAATTGCACACCATTGTGCCTGAACGACTAAATACTAGATTATGCAATAAACAAACACGGTAAAAAGAAACTGAAAAATTTGCAGTGTGTTATTAGGTGTTCATTTCATTAGCATTGCATACTATATATTGAGATCTACAGAGCACAACTGAATCAGACTGGTAAGCTTGTACTTATGTGTATGTACACTGTTCATACATTTCACTTGGTACTCGTGTATCATTATTTTTTTAAAATGACAAAAAAAAAATTTCTTTTGAATATCAAAGATCTGTAAAGCTGTTTTAGTCAGCATATTCCTTATTCCTAGGCTGATGGTTTTCCATGTGCAAAAACAAAAACAATACATTGTTCTTTTTTTCCCAGTTTCCTTTTTTTTAAAGATTTACAGTAAAATAGATTCTAATAGCATCGTTTAAGTTTTTGGTAAAAACCGTAAATGTTCCGATAAAATACGAGGGCTGTACCAGTAATAATGTCATAGGTATTCAGGAAGAAACAAAAAAACATTTGTCAATGATTTAGTATAATGAATTCCTTCAAAATACTCCCTTTTGACTAAAACACATTTCTGTAACCTCTTTATCAAGTTCCGAAATGCCTTTTTATATAAAGTTTAGGGTATGCTCTTCATATACTGAAATATAGTAGATTCTATGGAGTTCCTAGAGTTGAGATGTTTTTCTTGAGAGGTGTTTTTTAACTTTGGAAAAAGAAAATCAAATCCCAGGGGGACAGGTCAGGAATAAGGCGGGTGTGGTAAAACATTTACCTTTTTCTTCTCTAAACATGCTAAAGATTCTTTTACTATACCTGACGTATGTGCTGGAGCGTTGACATGAAGAAGATTGGTGTGACAGATGCCAGACTTTGGTCTCTTTCTCTCATACACTCTGTTAAGTTTTTGGAACACTTCTTAAGTTTATAGACTCGTCCAGTTACTAAACGACCTTTCCTAATAATAGGAATCTGAGCCACAAAACCATTGCTATTGACGAAAATTGCATATAACACTTTCTTAGTGCTCTGGCATCTTTTGGCTCTATGACAAAACGTGATCACATAACCGGTTGTCAGTTGATTAAAGATCAACTCATGCAAAAACATATGTTGTCGTTATCTGACCCTTGTTTTTTATGGAAAATAGTTCAGGGCATTATTTATTGAACAGCTCTCGTATAACTCGGTACACACAATTAAAAGCAAGCCACTTTACCTTAATTTAATGGCAACCATGTCCAAAAAATGGACAAGTTCATAAAAATTTAAATAGGACTAGAACTTAACTTTAAACAACATTCTTATTTTCATGTCATGTATGACTATGTTGCATATTTCTTTTGTTTTTTTTTTAAGTTTTTTATCTTTTATTCCAAGGAAGATGAAATTTAAAATAAACTTTCCCTTTTGAAAAAGAGACAGGTGTTTTCCATGAATGTATAACATTGAACTAAGATGATTTTTTCTTCTTCTAAATGACGTCCAACCTTTAAATGAAAGAAAATTGATACAGCTCTAGTTAATGAGATGTTGTCTAAAGCGGTGCTTCAGAAATCTTTCAAAGTAAAAGGTATTGAAAACGGATATCACATTTCATGTGTGGATGCGAACCGGGCTTGGATAACTGGATCATCTAGAAATCTTATATTAACAGACGAATTAGGAGAAACGTTAGACTGCCTTACAGACATAGATAGCACTAGAGGTAATCATTCTGTCACCCAGGGCGGTGATCTGATTTATATTAACGTGACGAGAACTATAACATCAACAAACTTTCTGCACATGATAAAACAAAGATTCCATTCATAAAGGCATCAGAGTCATGGACCGCTCGGTGTATTTGCGTATCTCGCACTTCTGGAGATCTGCTGGTTGGAATGTTAAAAAGAGTTCCCGGCCCTGCTGTAGAAAGGGGAGCAAAGATAGCTCGTTATAACTCGGAAGGTCAAGAGACCCAAACCATCCAGTACACATGGACGGGAAGAAAACTCTTCACATATCCTGTGTATATAGCAGAAAATCTTAATGGAGATGTCATGGAGTCGGATTGGAACCGTGTGGTAGTGACGGATCGGGAGGGAGAGATTCGCTTCTGCTACCCAGATAATCGACATGAAGAACTTTCTCCGTGGGGAATTTGCACAGACTCTCTGTTACATATCCTTATTTGTGATACGTCCACCTATACTGTCCGCATGCTGGATAAGGTTGGGTATTTTCTTCAATATTTACTGACGACTGAAGATGGAATAACTGAGTTTCGAAGTTTGAGTTACGATTACAAAATTGATCTTCTTTGGGTTGGATCTTTGGACGACAACACTGTGTTTGTGTTTAAATACATAGAGAAAGAAAACACACCGCAAGGTAGGGGTGTTGAATAATGATGAGTATAAACAATAAAACAATTTTTCTCAAGGTTCATTTTATTTTCGTTATCTAATCAATCAATTATTTATGACAAAAGATATCCAAAGTATGAATATAATATTCGCCTACTAGTGTGTTATTTAAAAAAAGAACTGAAATAGTCAGATCAATTATGTGCAATGAGATATCAAAATTAGAAATTTAGAATAAATACTACAACCTCATCTAAGTCAATAAATCGCTTGGTAGAATTATTGTAAAATGTATAGAAAGAAAAAAATTGCTACAATTAATAAGGACCAATAAACATTTTTATAATATTTTTTTCAAGATGACAAGGATACAATCATGGAGAAGGCAATTGAAAAGGATTTCCCGGGGACTAAATCAGCGAGCACCACAAAGATAAGTGAAACTGAGGGCGCCACTCAAGTGAGTGAAACTGAAGACCCTACTGATGAGGTTGAAACTACAGACTCCACCGAGGTTACCAAAACTGGGGACATCACGGAAATTACTGACACTAAAGACCCCACCGATGTGGCTGAAACTAAATACCCTCCTGATGTAACCGAAACTGGAAACACCACTGAAGTGAATGAAACTAAAGACGCAACTGTCTTCGAACCAATCTAGTTCTCATTTTATTTCTTTGGAAAATTCCTGTTAAGTTTAAGTAGCCAATATAGAGAAACACGGACATCTTACGAACGAACGTAACCAAAAACGGGGATCAGTCATTGTAGTCTATTGTATTCACGGTTGGATTATTGAATTCTTCAATTTTATTGGGATTTCGATAGATAAATCCCCACAAGATACCTCAAAGTCACGTCTTGTCGTAGTCGCTACCGTGACGCAACAATACATTTCAATGGACATTTAAACGAGCAAAGGGGTTCGAGAAGGGAAATGAAAGGTAAATTTAAAACATGTCATTCTGTGGCATGAAATAAAAAATAATAGTATATGCGGATCTAGTAGGGGTCGAAGGGGGGGGGGGTACTTTACGAAGGGCGGTCGGGACAATAAGGAGTTATGGTCTAAAACTAAATTGCAAAAAACCAAAAACTTTAAAGAAATTCTTGTTCAAAATACTATATGCTGCGAAAAATAAAATTAATATGGATTTAATACACAGGTATTATAGCCATATCATAAATACAGGGGGGTGCCCGTACGTAATTTGTCGGTTGATAAAGCTTCTTCTTACAAACATGTATCTTAAGAATCTTCATACAATTCTCACGGGTGCTAGTGGACAGGACACCCCCCCCCCTTTAACATCCCAGATCCAAAGCTATTTTTTTTTTTATTTCACTGTAAATGCTCAAAGGCTTCTCAAGATATTGCCCGAAACAAAAGTATCCTAACGTAAAAGTGTAACAGACGGACAGAATTATAAGACGAACGGGCAGACCGAAATTAATATCCCCAACTTTCGGGAAGGGGGGGGGGGGAGGGGGTCGGCACAAAGATGGAAGTTTAGTGAATTGTTATTTTGGCATAATTTAAGATATATGAGAGCAAGTTCCATATTAGCATGCCATCATAGGAACTATGCCCCCTCCCCAACCCCTGGAATATATATAAATCCGTGGGTCACAGGTTTTTTTTATTTTTGGTTTCTTTCATTAATAACATTTAAAATTTACAACATACAAAATTGATACTTGCAGTTAAAAAGTTAGAGGTGATTTAAGATACTACGGGCATGATTTTTTAAAATAGAAAGTGAATTCTATGTACTTTTTGGATTGTTCATTTGAAATACATTGTAAATATGTACTAGACGGTTTATTTTTAAAAGAAGACAAATATGAATATTTTGGGACCCGGTATGTAAATTGGAGGTGGGTATGGGGAGGTTGTCTGGTCTACAAGCACTTGTGATTAAGCATATGTGTGCACATACTTTTGAAGGATACCATGACAACTAAGTGACAACTACGGTTTCATATTATTCACACTTTTATATAAGTCCGGTATCTTTTTTGTCGGTATTCTGGAATCAATCTTTTTTTTTCCTTTTACAACAGGATGGTGAATATATATTTTTCCCTACAAATGAAGCAAGTTATAATTTCAATTATAGTTTTTATATGTATTTTGGACCTTCGTTCAAAATAACTCGGTGTGTGGTCAAAAGTATAAAGTGTATCTTCTAATTTCATATTTTGATGATTAATTAATGCATGGTTAACAAACGATGACATAGTGGAGCATAACTTTTAGACAAAGAAAAGAACTTTACTAAGAAAAATGCACCACCCTACATAAATGCATATTTTCAGCCTTTTTATAATCCACATATATATAGAGAGATACACCATGTACACACGTTCGTATATAGAAACGGGGTTGAGGGGTTGGGGATAAGCCGAAGTCGATAAATAAAAATGTAATATTATAGAAAACTTAGCTACTGTATACTTGTGCCCCTCAATAAAAAAATCTTTCATTTTGGCTTCTCAAGGAATTGTTTGGTAGTGACTCTAAACTTTTGGTTGTGCCCCCTCCCCCCTCCACCCCAACTGAAATTGTTTGCTTCAGGCCTGTTACATATACATAAAATAAAAGCAGCCCAAGATAATTTAGTTAAGATCGCCATTTAATACATCATCTAAGAAGATACTACCATGGATGCTCATTTATTTCTTTGAATTGATATTTTAATAGATTTAAAAAAGAATATCTCTCCCCCCCCCTTCTCTCTCTCTCTCTCTCTCAATACAAGACACTTTATAAAGCGCACTACCTATTTACTTGATTGCACGGATTTATTTTTTTTTTTCAAGCTGTAAAAAGTAACCTTTCCCCTATGAACAAGGCGCACACTACGAGTAGTTTGTATACGTTTAATCACGGACGCATGACAAACGTGTTTCATAATCCGTCGAAAGTATAATGGTGTATTTTCTTCTATTTGTTCGCTTCTTTAAAAACATTGTAAGTGATTACAAAAAAATTGACATGAGCAATTTTCAAATACACAGTGGTTAAAACACTATCCGTTTTATTTTACACATATACTTATTTCTTCCGATTTTAAACATAATGTGGGTACAATCACTGTTCCGAGAAAACTATCGAGATACTGGAAGTTAGGGAGAGTTACATTCGTTCGTGAGATGTCGGCGTTTCTCTATTTAAGAAAATCAAATCAAATCGCTGAAATGTGAAAAGTATGTCATTGTAAAGAAGATAGTTTCATTGATACTATTTAATTACGAAAAACGAATACTTACATAAGCGTATGAATACGATCCGTGTTAACAAAACGAATAAACATAACATGTTACATATTTTAACATTAAAATATTTAAACAAAAAAAGGTGGGGCATTATGTTCTAAATTTTTTATATTTTAAAATACCTTGGAACTTCTAAAAGTCTTGGAGATGAGCCACTCCGCTCCGGGGATTGGATGAAGAATGTTGATGGTTTTTTTTAAGTTTCCAACATTTTGTGTGTATTTTCTTTTTTTCAAATGGACCCTATAAATTTTGGGGAAACATTGAAAAGTTTTGCTTACACACCAGGCAAATTTAAAAAACAAAACCTGTTTACAAGTATTCATAAATATCTAAACCATGTAAAGTTTTAAATTTTACATAATTATTTGCTAAAGTGTAAAATTGACTAGGAAAACAATCAGTTTGTTTTGAGGGGAAGTTAATGCAAACGTTTACCAATTATCCGGATGAAGTAGTTTGATAGTTTCTAGACTTTAAGGTGTACCTTTATTCAGATGACTTAAAATTCCACTGATAAGAACGAAAAACCACCTATTGCACATTGTACACCAATGATTCTTGTGCTAAATTTTAATTTCAAATAACTAGGTCAATGACCTACTTTTCATGCTAGTGGCCCCTGAGTATTTCTCGGGAAATACCCCAATTTTTCACACTATGACCAATTTTTTCTCCACTCACAAAATATTATAAGCAACAGAACTGTTTTAAAATTGAAATATTAAAGTAATGGAACAGCGTTGCCTCATATAAATAAACGATTAGAGCTTGGGTCATAAACTTTATAATTATTACAGTCCGAATTTCCTCTGTCATATTTACATTTTTCCCCATTTTTAATTGAATATTACAAAAATACTGATAAGAACTATAAATCATTTATAACCTTAGGTTACTCCTGTTGCCCTAGTTTTCATGGTATTAATATAATATATTGGGTCATTGATCAGATTATTGAGATTTGTTGCCTGGAATGGTTTTTCTTCTTATTTTTTAATTTCTTTGTTTCATGGCATTCAATTATTTGAAATAATTTATGAGCTTTAACACATATAATATTTGCAAAATGATGTCTAAAAATACATTCCATCTTTACATTTTGATTAATGTTGCAAGAAATCAAAAATTTTGACAAAAATGAAAATTTGAAAATATAGTTCGAATTTTCTCTGCATTACCATACATTGACTTTTGTTCCTGTATATTTTCTTCAAATAATAAAATATGAAATTTTGAAATTGATATATAGTTAAAACTTGGTTATTTTATGCATATAGAACAATTTTTGATTTAACTATCTTATACTTTAGAAAATCTCCTGTCTGTTTCCTGAAACCTGAGTAAACGTCATCCTTAATGAGTCAACTGGGTACGATTGGCGATAAAAAAAACTCACTTGAGCTTTCAGCCCAGAGAGCAAGAGAGATTAGCATTCTTATTTGCTTGTAATTGAAAGATAGTAATATCTTGATCAAATTTCTTTAAACGTAGTATCACTGGTCAAAATTTCACAGATTTTTATCCGACACTGATAAAGTTTGTCATCTAAATCCATCGTTTAAATTGCATCACAATTACATTTGTGTATATGTAACACTTACTTGAGTAACCTTTGCCTTGCTGTTCTTCAGAGGGAGATTTCTTGTAAGACTGATTTTCTCATGAATTCTTTATTCTCTAATTTTTCATATTAGCTCTTACGGGGGTATTAGCTCTTACGGAAGTACTTGTAAAAAAGAAGAAACTTTCGCTTCGTTTTGTTTCGATTTCGTTTCGCAGTTTTCAGTATCCCTCTTGGGGGAGGGGAAATTTGTAAAAAAAAAATTGAGTCCACACAAATTGGGGATTCTTCAATACCAATCTAATTACATGATCTTGCTGTACTGAAGAAGATTTTCTTTAAAAAAAGTAACAGACAATCACTTCATTGTTGAGTATTTTTCCTGCGTACAATATTTGCCATCTATGAGTCAAAGTGTGACATCAAAAATAATTTATTTCTTTATCATATACATTTCTGTGTGCTTTGATTTGTCCTTTTGTTATATTTCCTTTCGTTTATCAGTATAGTCCCTTTAACAGTTTCATATTGATCCCTACATGCAGGTAAAACTAAAAGCAGGGAAGTGTATTCATTTACGAAAAACTTGCAAGGGATTTACACTTTCTTAATATTTAGGGGAGGAGTATTGACCATTCTGATTCTACTTACATTTACATACCTATTACCCTATAATATATTGGAAACACCTTATGAAATGAACTTAAATTTTCTCTTGTTAAAAGCTTATCATAATAGGTAAATAAAACTTCTTTTAATCATTATTGTATTCATTATAAAAACAACAGTACAAATATGTTAAGAAATGATTCTTGAAA